TTCTGCTCCTCTGAATCTCATTCCCATTTGGAAATATTTTTAAGAAGAACGAAATCAGACCAGCCTCTTTTTGGCAAATTGGGACTGACCATCTTTCAAGGCCCATGATGAAAGAGACTGCTAATGTCACATATACAATGTATCCGTGTTCTATATTCCATGTGTTCAGTTTGAATGGGAATAGTTGGGATTCTCACAATTCTTGACACTTTGGACTCCAGCTACTTTTTATGCTTCTTACTATGGACAATGTTCCCATCTAGACCAAATTCCCTTTGACACATGTCTACCTCAGTGAGAGATTAATATTACATCTGATTAATCTTCTTCATGATTGTAATTACTTAGTGTTTATTGACTGAGTCATAACTCACTGTGTGAAAACAAAATCTTAAACTACCAATTTGAAGATTCTATTAATCCACTGATTGATTGAATTAATTTTACCCATGTGTTACAAGCACATATTCGTGGTTTAGTTTGTAAATACTCTTTTGAATGTATATGTATATTAACATGTATGACCTATTTCTGTATGTATGTTTAATGTGTATGTGTTTTATATGTTACAATGTGTATTTAAGTAACTTTGTTTATTATTTAGAGTGGTCACTCTGTACATTAGTGTTTGTGTATAATTTCCTATATTCGTACATTTCAGTGTATGTTATATATTTGTGTATTTTTATTGTGTGTATGTGTTATAATTTTGTAGTTTAGTGTGTTTGCTTTGTTTACAAATGAGCTCTAAGCTTCATGAATGTCATAGTAAAACTTGGTCATTGGGCTTACTGGACAATTTTCAACTACTCATCTAGCTTATTTCTATAGTCATTAATTCACTAATTATTTTTGAGAAAGGGTCTGACCTGTAGATTGGTTGTCTGGTATAAATTTATGTACCAGTGTGGCCATACTCAGTGTAATCAAGCTTAATACTTTCTATTTCTGGATTTTTGAAAGAGTCAACCGTAGCTAGTCATTAACACTATTAAAAAGGTTGATAATGACCTAGGAAAAGAAAGATAGTAGGAAAAAAATATAGTTTCTTTAATTTTTAAAACATAGTTGTAGGTTAAGTGGATGTTTGACTGGAACTTCCTATGCTTCCATACCGAAGTAGGAGTCATTATGCAGCCCAGGAATGTACATCTTCACCATGATCCTACTCGTCACTGACAGTATTTTCTCTTTTGGTAGCCATGCCTGCCTAGAGCACTCTCACATTAAAACACTAAGTGGGTGATAGGCATAGTGGCAGGAGGCTATAATGAAAACAATTTGGACAAATATTCAGGAAGGTTGGTGGGGGCTATGGTGGCACATGCCTTTAATCCTAGCCCTCTGGAGGCAGAGGCTGGCAGATCTCTGTGAGTTTGAGGCCATCCTGTTCTAGA